AAAGTTATTGAAAATATGCTCAACTTTTGAGACTCATTACTTAATAATTAAAACATGTATCGAAAAAATAACTTTAGCTGGTTCATCTACCTCTCTTGCACTCTCGAATAATCTTTTTGAGCAGGTAGAACAACATGTGAAAATTCATTCTTGAAAGAAAATAGGATAGAATTTCTTCGTTTTAGTTCGATTTTCTTCCCTTGACTATAGTCATTTAGTCAATTAGTCAGTTTAATCTATTTAAGACCTTTTTAATATACAAGGATCTTAAATAGATTTTCAGATTGTCACCATTGATACCGGTTACAATAAAGACTTTTTTTAAACAGATTTTGCTTGTAAAATTGTTAACACAGATATAATCGTATATTAAGGAACATTGAGCCATCTTTAACAGTATCTAACACTGTTTTACCTCATGCACTTTTCATGAATAATGTAAGAAAACACTGGTAAATCCTCTGTCTAAATCCGGCGAAACTCTGATTGTAATAACTGCAGCCCTATCACCCTTCTGCCACCTATGTCTAAAGTGTGTGAGAAAATTGTATGTAAACTACTATGAAACTTAACAAAATCAAATTATTTCAATCTTCAAGACTATCTGCTGATAATGCCTATTTGTTTTTTCACGACTAAAATTCTTTACTTGCTAGAAATGTTCTGAACGAAGATCTAGCAAAAGTACAAGAATCGTTCGATAAATGGTACGTTCCACTCAGTTATAGAAAATGTGAAGCTATTGCGCCTTTAGTACTTGTCATGTGATTTTTGTTGGCGGCAGAATTTACTTGCCAATAACCGGAAAACGTTAAAATTTCTTTCATTTCTCTGTCTGAAGCCAGCAAACACGTGCTGAAAAGCATCGCTATTATTTAAAATTCTACACTCTATCCGAATTGGAACTTTTTCGGAACCAATACGATGGGTATGATTATGTTTTTCGTCCATTCGTCCAATGGATGGAACAGACACGTATATTATATCATTAAGTAGAAGCACTTCACTTGAACATTTAAATATGATGTTTAATACTAATCAGAGATTGGATAATTGGATAAAAACGAAATTTCAAAATATATGAGAAATTATTCAGTTCACACATAATTCTTCAGCTCTTTTACAGTTCTTACTAGTATTTGTGCTTTTTGTAATCACTTGTAACACAAGAGAAAATAATTTAGTTCCTAATAATCGTTCGTCCGATATGCACTATACGTGCTCATTAGAAAAAAATAGCGTTCTACTCGTATGTAATTCGTTTTTGCTATTTAAGCTGCCATCATTCTCATTTGCATTCCTTCTAGAGGGTCTCTTATCACAATAGAATTAACTGTTTAGTACAGGTTGTGATGTCTATTCAATGAAGTTTCAAATTTCAGTTCCTACACATCAAACAAATTTTATCTATCGTCACTTACCATCAAATAAAAATAAGAACATTCATTTTATACTAGATTCTCTTTGTGATTTGTTTATCTGAATAAATAGTAAAACGAGAACCCCTTCAATCTACATTGTTTTTCTCTTCTTTCCACTTCGTAGTGTACTCAAACCAACAAAATAAAGAGGTTACAAGGGTTTTACTTAACTGTGTATGTTGTTGTACATGTGAGAATTATCAGATTCTGGCGGAATGTGACTGAGGAAACGAAAGTAAACTTAAATAGGCAAAAAAGGTAAGTTAAACGAGAAAAATCACTGCCCCAGGTCAAGCAATTCTACTAGGTTCCTACAAGATCCTGTAGGGTCCTACTGATAATCAGATTTCATAGGATTCCTATTGTAGGATCCTATAAAATCCTGTAGCAGGAATTCCATAGGATTCTTGATATAAGACGGTAGTAAAAATCCTATAGGATTCCTGTGAATAGGAATCATATGCATTTCTTACAAAATCCTACGGTAAGATTTTGCAGGATTCCTATTTTTTTTGTTCTCTATATATTTTCTTTTCTTTTTCTGTACGAGAACACTCACCCACGTGTTTTGTAGTAACGATGATATAAACACAACTCTGTTGTAGGAAATGAAAAATTCTTTTAGGCTCAAATTTTCGAAATTCTGTGAGCCATCGAAACTCACTATACTTTTCGACGACGTGTGAGCGAGTACTCACAAGTCTTGGGCTTATCCAAGTTTAGAATCATCCGATTCTGGCTATCTGGGATCAATTAATAATTAAACAAATAAAAATAATAAACTTAGTAGGATAAACCATACCATATCGTAGTTGATCACATAAAATCGTATCAAATCCTATAATAAGATTATATAGGATCTTATATGATTTTATAAGTTCCTGCTGTAGGATCTCATAGGATCCTATAATATTAATCCTACGTCATTTCTTGCTTTAAGATGGCAGATATGTTTCCTATAAGATCCCACATGATTTCATAGGATCATATAAGATCAGACAAGATCTTATTTTAGGATCCGATAGAATCTTACAAGATCCAATATGATCCTGTTATAGGATTCTTTGACCTGGGGCGCTGCAGTACACACGCACTGCAATTATTCACACAAATAATATATATTAAATAATATTTCGTGCATAATGCTGTTTTCATTATCATTAAAATAATACTCACATACACAGCGTATGACTTTTCACTCTTCAAAGCAAAACATTACAAACTGTTAGTTTATTGTACGATTGTATCTAATGGGATCCAGTCGTTATAATGAGTCGCTACTATACCTTTGATCTCTCATAATTTCAACTGCGTTTTATTTTGTTTTTCATTCAAAAGAAAAACAGAACGCAGTTGATGCATGCGCACATGCACATCATGAAATCAGGCATTGTTTAACAGCATCATCATAATTTCAGATGAACATCGGAACAATGACTAGGATGAATGAATATTAGTATTCGTCTTTGAACGATAATGAAGTCATTCCTGGAGAACCCATTTTTGATATTAGATACTACTTTCAAAACTGAACAGTTTTAAACACGACGATTTAAACTAATTCAGCTTGGCCAAGCGTGACGGAATTTCACTTTTTCGACTTCTTTGTTTTGTATCTCCGAAACTATGTAAGGGATTACAAGGAAATTTTTATCAAATGAGTATAAGAACAGGTTCTTCAAATTCTGAAAGTGTGAGTTTGATCCGTAAACTAGATCAGCAGTTATAGCAAAAATAGAGGCCATGACGGAATTTCAAAAAATAGAAAGTTTTTTTAGGTACTCTTTGAACTTTGAACTTCTCTCTGAAATATGGTATTGTCGTTTGACATACTTTATAGAAAAATGTTCCAGAATATGTCTCTAGTTTTGGTTTTAAGCGCTAAGATCAATAAAACGAGTAGAATATTGACCGTGATAGAATTTCATGTTTCCAATGTAGAAGGTTATGCCTGCCATAAATTCGACACTCAAACGAACCCAGCCAACCTTCTTTGGTTCTCTATCATCCACGCGCCTCTCTTTCATCATTCTAAGCAGTTTTTGTTAAGAAAATACAGCACCTGACGGCTAATAATAAATTTAAAATTTCAATGAATTTGCGACGTTGCTATTGTTAAATATCATTAAAATTGAAAGTTGAGCGATTTTTAAGCAAAAAAATCATCGTGTGTAAGCTCAAAAATGTGTTAAATCACTCTCAGATCTTTTCCAATGGAAACGTCTTAATTCTAAATTTAAAAATTCAAAAATTAGTTAAAACTAAGAAACTGAAAAATTACAATTTTTTTCAAATTTTTTCGGTATTATATTTGGAATCAGCTGAAACTACTGCATTGAATGATGTTGATGTCAGCCTAATTCGTGAGAAAAAAGTTTTCGATTTCTGGTAAAAAATGTATTTTTTATGTACTCAAAAAATGAAGCTCCGTCACGCTGTATTTCGCATTTTTTTCTCTCATAACTTGATCAAAATCCAATATATTATACTCCATTCGGATAGATCTCGACGAGATCTATCCGTCTATCTGACTTGTTTACCAGTTTAACTCTTTATTTGAATGTAAAGAACAAAATATGAAATTTCGTGACGAAATTTCACGAAGAATGTAGATGATTTATTTTTGAAATTTTTCAACATCTGTACATTTTCGGAGACTGACCTAGTGAGCACTGGAAAGAGCAACGCTTTCGGAACTGATATATTTTAATCTCAACTTTATTCATTTTGCGTTTGGAGGACACAAATGATATGAAAGATTAGACTGTATCATTACTGATTTTCTCCTAGTGATCCTAGAACATTTAACCAATGAATAGCGAACCTCAGGGTACTTCCTGGTGGTTTTGATGTCGATTCAATATACTATTCTAGACGCTCTTTCTAACGCTATCATTTGTTTTGATTAGTTCTACACTTCAATCACCTACTTGAGCGGTGACAGTTAGCTGGCCAAGCCGTAATACGAATAGAATATTGAAACCTAATTACTGCTAATACTGTTGTTTTTTTTTGCTATTGGCAATACAAGTACATTCACTTCTTCTAGTTATTATATTATCAAACTTTTTTCCCGAAGTATAGATGAATCACTAGACAGTGCTGAAAAGGATATGCCGTCTAGGGTAGTAGCAACGTCAGGATTTTTATAGTAAAGAAGATAAATAAAGTTTCACGTTAAAACATATGTCGATAAGATCTTTTTTTTCTACAAAAGAATCTATGAGTTTAGATTCATTGAGGCACTTGCCGGGTCTAATCAATAACTAATCGCTGTTACTTCTACTTGCGGAAAAGATTTACTGTTCAAAAGTTACAGATTTTAAAAAAGAAAAATGCGTTTGTGTTGATGTTTTTTTACGGATATATTAATCGCTGTTTCGAATCGTTATTTATGTCGCGACCAAATTTTTAGGAGAATTGAGAAGGAGAAATAACTTAGTGGGAGAGGAGGGGGCTGAACCAAGTCAGATTCCAGCTCAACTTCCTTGGTGGCGCCGCCGCTAGCATACGGTATTTCAGTTACTTTTTTTTACCAGCCAGGATTCCCGAGCTACACAGAATTTGAGTTTCAGAGACATGGTAAAAGTACTTTGGAATAGCTTAACGAAAAAATCCTTTTTTTCGTCGATAGCTAAAAGCAGTCATCTGAGAAATCATGTATTTCTCTCTATTATAGGCAGCCGAATACAACAAATACAAAATGTACTTATTTTAATTGTTTGATTATTCTAAATTTACATGTAATTTAGATGAACGAGCACTTGTTTAATAATAATATAATATACTTATTCTTCGTTAACGGCACGCTGATCTGTATTTTAAAGTTGTGAATATGTTTAAAATAATTACAACCATTGACTTATTCACAATTAATATCAGCAATGGGTATATGCTTGATTATTTGCACATTGAGAGGGGGACTTCTGTTGCTGTGTTTTATTTTCTAATCTCTAGAAAGATTAAAACATTATCTTTTATAATTATTTACGTATCTAAAAAAAAGAAAACCTGGCTTTATTCTCATGGTTTTAGTTGATTTAAATAGCTGTTTTCAGCCTTTTCTTATCGATTCTCCGTTCATTTTACCTGTAATTGATATTTTGTTTCAATATTTAGTTCGGTTATCGAGTTATCAAGTGCTCGATGGAAAAAACCCGTGAACCAATGTTTATTGTGGGATGTTTTTTCATTGTTTTATACTATTTATCCTCTAATGTTCATGGACAAGTTGATCCACAAAATCGTATTGATTGTTATCCAGAAGCTTCTGGTACACCGCTGAGTAATTATAGTAAAGAAGCGTGTTTAAGTCGACATTGTCTGTACGATGAAAATGCATATGGTCATGGAATTCCTCAATGTTATTATGCACCCAATTATGGTTACATATTACAAGAAAGCCAACCAGAGCAAACTTCAAATGGCATGAGATTTAAATTGAAACGAAACACTGCTGTACAAAGTCCATTTCAAGAGCCAATTGAGAATGTTTTACTCGATGTAGAATATTATACCAATGAGATTTTACATTTTAAGTTGTATGATGCGGATAAAGCACGTTACGAAGTAAGTAAAAGTGAAGCAATTTTATAATTCAAGAAGTGAACGTTCATTTCGATTAATTAATTACACCTGAAAAAGGTGGAATTTCACACAATTTAATTACCAAACTTAATTTTTATTTATTTACTTATTAAGGTTCCGATTCCATTGCGTCCATCATCGGGCAAAGCTCAATCACCACAATATGAATTTATTGAATCATCAGATGCGTCATTAGATAATATATTTTCATTTGTTATTAAACGTCGTTCAACATCTCAAAATCTTTTTGATACATCACTTGGCGGTCTTGTATTAAATAATCAATTTTTACAAATAGTTACACGTCTTCAATCATCGAATGTATACGGTTTTGGTGAAAATAATCATGATACATTAAAACATAATTTACAATATACATCATGGGGTATTTTTGCAAGAGATCAGGGAACAAATTGGTTGACAAATACAAATCATTATGGTCAACATCCATTTTATTTGGTTATGGAACAACAAAAAAACACTCGATCACCATCAGGCAATATGCACGGAGTTTTACTACTTAACTCAAATGCTATGGATTATTCATTTACACCTTCACCATCATTGACAATGAGAACAATTGGAGGAATTTTAGATTTTTATGTTTTCATGGGACCAGAACCCGAAACGGTCGTTCAACAATATACATGGCTTGTTGGACGATCAATATTACCACCATACGTAAGTTGCGTACTAGACTTTTTAGAACAAAAACTAAATTTCGATTTATCAGCTAATAACTCAAAAGAAATACTGCCAATTAGCAGAACTATACTTGTCGATATTTTTTGAATAGTTTTTGATTGAGTGATCTGCGCCTAATTTATGAAGAGGACATTAGTGCAAAAGACAAAATTTTGAAATAGTTTTTCGAAAGGAGGTTTTCTAGCGAAAATCAGATCATAGTGCAATACGTTTGTTTATTTAAACGAATAGACAATTTACAGTGTCCTATTCTTCAGCATGTGAGTCATTCAAACTCTTCACCGAATAACTGCATCGAAATTGAGAATTTTGTAATTCACTTACAATCGGTATGAAATACTTCAGAATTCAAAATATACTCTATCTTACCTTTTTTGAAAATAATCTAAAAAAGGTTACTCCATGTAAAGTAGACTTTTGAAAACTTCAAGAGAAACTACCATAACTACAAGATTCTGCGATAATCTATGTTCTGTTTATTTCTGACGTTCTCTCAGATCATTTTACATCAGTTCTCGTACTCTCAAGAAATTCGATGACACACGCTAACTATGATAGAAGAAAAATTCAGATGACTCCCATGTGGAAGAATAGGACACTTTAAATAAACAAACATATTCATATGTCAAAGTTTTGCACTATGATCTGATTTTCGCTAGAAAATCTCCTTTTGAAAAAATATTTCAAAATTTGTCTTTTGCACTAACCTCCTCTTTATATCGAAGGCGTAGATCACTGAATCAAAAATTATTCAAAAAATATCGACGAGTTATTGTTCTTTTAAGTGGTATTAGATATTTATTTTACCTTTCTGAAATTATAAAAAAAACATAAATTCATACAGAATATATTTTAAATGATCTTTATTTTTTCTATTTTTTAGTGGTCATTAGGCTTTCAGTTATCGCGTTGGGATTATTCGAACATAACCCACATGAAAAACATTGTTCAACGTAATTTAGATAAAGGGATTCCCTTAGATGTGCAATATGCCGACATTGATTATATGGATGCTGAAAAAGACTTTACAGTGGATCCAATTAATTTTAAAGGTTTAAAAGAATATTTTAATGAATTAAAAACAAAAGGAATACACACAATAGTAATCCTCGATCCCGGAGTTATTGACGAAGCAGATTATCAACCGACAATAACCGGAAAAGAGCAAAATGTGTTCATTAAATGGGATAATGGAACAGATATGAAAGGAGCCTGCTGGCCAGGCGAGGTGTATTTTCCCGATTATTTCTTAGAGCGAACGCAAAAGTGGTGGGCAAAATGGATAACAGATTTTAGAAATGTGAATTTAACATTTGACGGACTTTGGATTGATATGAATGAACCGGGTAAATTTATCTATTGTAAAAATAAGTCTTAAGAGTAGAATAAACCTAGCTGATCATTTTTCGCGCTGAAATTTGGTAACTATCGAAATAGATTTCCTGTATTGTTTTATTTTCAGTAACTATTTTCTTATTTCTAAAGCATTGTTTGACACGAACGATGAAATCCCATGGAATTGGCAGGAAACAGGCAGTAATTATACATTGAAATGTCCTGTTAATCAATATGATGATCCACCTTATCGAACAAAAGCTATCTATCGATTCGATAAAGAAAATGAGAAACCAAAACGATTATCCGATCGAACATTGTGTATGGCTGCACATCAGGGTGATCCTGATAACGGCGGAGAACCACAATATCGACATTATGATGTTCATGGGTGAGAATCAATCTAATTGAGTTAATTGGCTGTTGATTGTGTTTTTTTGTTCTAGTTTATATGGTTGGAGTCAAACAAAGCCAACACTGGACACCATGCGAGCGATAACAGGAAAACGTAGTCTTGTATTGCCACGTTCAACGTTTGTTGGTTCGGGCCAATGGTCTGGTCATTGGTGAGTTTAACTGAAGGTCTTTTGCACGTTATTTTGTATAACTCCTCCCCTGAATTTCTCTGAAAGGGGAAAAGCAAAGGGTGAAAGTTTGTAAAAGGAGAAATTACTGGAAATCTGAAAATTTATCCATCCCACACTTCCTCTTCCTAACGCTTGTGGACGTACGCGAACCCATGGACAATACTGACAATATATTGCATACGCGGACTAACTAAAGGAGAATATATTCGCACAGAAACAGTGTTTTAATAAACTATCCATATATTTATTTTATTTTGTCCACGTTCCAAGATCTCTGCGATCTCATCTTCCACAACTTTTGATGTTGCAAATGAAATGATGAGCGAGTACCTATCCATACAACTTAAAAGAAAAATTAATTAGCGTACACGTACACACACGGGACATAGATTCCATCCAGTCCCACCTTAGTCCATCACGTTTGAATGAAGGAGTTACCCTTTAGGCCCAAGATCTGCGCTGATAGACTTTTTTATTACTTTAATCAAATCTTTTTCTTCCAGGTTAGGTGATAATGAGGCAACGTGGCATGAAATGAAACGTTCATTAATTGGAATGGTTGAATTCAACTGGTTTGGTATTCCATTCAATGGAGCTGATATATGCGGCTTTTCTGAGACACCATCAGAAGAAATGTGTATACGGTAGGGAATATATATTACGACCATAAGACTCTAGGAAAGATTTAAAAGAGTATTTTTCTTCTTCCATATGAAAAGAGTCATATTAAAATAGAAATAGCAGGTTGTGTACGTCATTTCTACTGAAATACTGATCTCTTTAAATGGACGCTAATTTCTTTCATTTCAAATTCATGTGCTTTTTCTTGACGGCTTTAGTTGGATGCAAGTCGGTGCATTTTATCCATTTTCACGTAATCACAACGTATGGAAAACGGAAGATCAAGATCCTGCTCACTGGAGTGATATGGCTGTAGGAATAATGGTGAAAGCATTAAAAATTCGTTATACACTATTACCATATTATTATACATTATTCTTTAAAGCGCATACGCGCGGTTCTACTGTTATTCGTCCACTCTTTCACGAGTATCCACAAGATCAAATAACGACAGATATATTTTTACAGTTTCTTATTGGTCCAGGTATCATGATAGCACCAGTCACTGATGATAATGCGCGAGAAATCAGTGTATATATTCCATCGTCACATTGGTATGATTTTTATACAGGTAAAAGAATGAACATGTTGAATCAATGGGTAAAAATTCAAGCTCCACTAGATACAATTCCAATATTTTTACGGTAGATAAATATCTAGACTATCCTCAACTGTATATTTACTTTGCATTTAATTTTTCAGTGGTGGTTATATCATTCCAACACAAGAATTTGCAAATAATACGGTTTATTCACGTAAAAAACCATTTGGATTAACAATTGTTTTAAATTCAAAAGGAAATGCTGAAGGTGATTTATTTTATGATGATGGTGATTCAATTACCTCAGTTGAAGCACACCAATATTATTATGCACAATTCAAATGGGTACAAACAGAAATGAAATTAACCATTAATGTTGTTGAAAATAATTATGGATCTATGGAACAGTTAATATTAGATTCATTAACAATTTATGGATTAGACAATATACCATCATCGTTCGTTATTGATGGAAAACAACCTGTCACAAATTTTCATATGAAACCAAATACACAAATATTGGAATTAACTGGACTCAATATGAAAATGACAACAAACCATACAGTAACATGGTCTGGATCGGGAATTATTCTAGTTGAACAGCCAGATGATATTGCAACAAAACCTGAGTACAGAGTTGACTGTTATCCAGATCCAAATGCTGATGCTAATAAATGTCGTGGAAGAGGCTGTGAATGGGATCCACCAACTATAACTGGTGTTCCTGCATGTTATGTTCCAAAATCAAAAGGTGGTTATCAACTTATCGATCAAGAGGCAATTGAACAATATGGTACTCAATATAAATTACAACGTTTATCAACAAAACCCTTACATAAGATGGCAGCACGTCGTCCACCAAACTATCGTATTGACAATCGTGTACAAGAACAACAATCAGAAGCTCCTGTTAGAAATTTAATCGAGACAAAAGACTCCGAATTTAGTTTATTTGGTAATGACGTCGATAATTTAAGGTAAAATATGATTGAACTTCAATTATTTTTCAATAAATTTTTAACGTTCTAATTTAAGATTACAAATGACAACATCAGGAACAGATATGATTCGTTTGAAAATTGTTGATTTGGATCATCAACGTTATGAAGTACCCATTCCCATAACTTGGAATCCGTGGTCCACTGCTGCTAGTATAGCTCAACAAAAAATTAAATTTCAATTAACACAAACGCAATACAAACAGCTTGGTTTTCAAATTGTGAGAACAGATACTAAATCAGTTCTATTTGATACATCGTATTTTGCTGAGGGTTTCATTTATGATGACAAATATTTACAATTCATGACAACGATTCCGTCAAGAAATGTTTACGGTATGGGTGAAAATACTCATCCAACATTTCGACATGTGTTAAATTCCGGTGTTCGATATGGAGTATTTGCACGTGATCAACCGCCCGCAGGTTCAAATGAAAATTTATACGGTACCCAGCCATTTTATATGGTCGTAGAAAATGATGGAAATGCTTTTGGTGTTCTTATCTACAATTCAAATGCTCAAGATTATAAATTTAGTGAATATGAACAGGATCAATCACTGTTGACTTATCGTACAATTGGAGGAATTTTAGATCTCTTCTTTTTTGCTGGACCAACTCCTGAAGCTGTGATTCGACAATATCAACAACTTATTGGTTTTCCGTATATGCCACCATATTGGGCTTTAGGATTTCAGTTGTGTCGATATGGATATGACACATTAGAAAATATGAAAGCAGCCATGAACAGAACAGTTTCAAACGGAATTCCACTCGATATAATGTATGGTAAGAACATATGAACTATATCGTGTTGAAATCGCCTCCAAAATGTTAACACCTTTTCTTTCAAATGAAAAATGTTAATTCTGAGTAAAAAATATTAATATTTAGTTTGACTAATATAGTTGAGCTGTAAAAGAAGGTGAAATAATGAGTATTATAAGTAGTTCTTTAAGCGGATGCATATAAAAGTTGGCTTCTTAACTAGACTGACTTTTTTTGAGGTTTTTTTCTATTTCAGGCGATATTGATTATTTTGAAAATCAACTTGACTTTACATGGGATCCAATTCGTTTCAAAGATTTACCCAAATTTGTTGATTCATTACATGATCAAGGAATGAAATTTATTACAATATTAGATCCAGCTATTGATTCAGAACAAGAAAATTATCCACCATATTCAAACGGACAAGCCAAAGATATCTGGGTGAAATGGCCAAAGGATAAAAATCTCCAATTTAATGAAACAGGTAATAGATATAGAACATTATTTTAATTTTAAATATGAGTCAAAGTCAGAGTAAGCTGACTGTTTAAAAAAACGTTTTAGAGTTCTCATATTTGTAAACATAATCTTTTGAAAATTGTGAATATTTTGCTTTTGCGAAATACTTTTAGGAAATCGTAATATGCTCGGTTACGTATGGCCACTTGGAAAAACTGTATTTCCCGATTACTTTAATCCTGCTGCTATAGCCTGGTGGAAGTCTGAAATTTTAAATTATCATCAAAAACTGAAATTTGACGGTTTATGGATTGGTGAGTCTGTAATGATTATACATACTTTAGCAACAATAGTTCAATAAATAGAGTATCATCCAAGGTATCATCTATTATAACTATTGATGTTTTTTGTTCACAAATTTAAGATATGAATGAACCGGCTAATTTTGATACAAATAAACTGCAGCCATGGAATTGGAATAGACCTGAACCATGGAATCTTCACTGTCCTGATGATGAAGAATGGGATAATCCTCCGTATAAAACTGCATTACATGGTGATCGTATATCTGATAAAACGCTGTGTATGATTGCTGAACATACTGATGGTTCTCGAATCTTTCGTCATTACGATGTTCATAATTTATATGGATTGACAGAAACTATAGCTACACTTCCAGCTGCACAAGCTTTAGAAAATAAACGTTCAATTGTCGTTAGTCGTTCAACATTTCCAACATCAGGTGCAATTAGTGGTCATTGGTTAGGCGATAATTCAGCTTTATGGTCACACGTTAAATATAACATTATCGGCATGTTAGAATTTAATCTATTTGGTATACCGTATGTAGGTGCAGATATCTGTGGATTTGAAGGTGCTACAACTGAGCAATTATGTCAGAGATGGATGCAGTTGGGTATGTAAACAATGTGAGTCTTTATTCAATCGTTTAGTGTATTTTACTTATACTTTCAGGTGCATTTAATCCATTTTTTCGTAACCACAATGGTATAAAATATCCGGATCAAGATCCAGGTATATTTTCTGCACCCGTTGTTGCATCCAATCGTAAAGCAGTCGAGCTACGTTATACATTAAATCCATTTTTATACTCATTATTTCATCGTGTCCATATTTCTGGTGGCACAGTTGTTCGCAGTATGGCACATGAATTTTCAAAAGATAGTCAATGTTGGGCGTTGGATGAACAATTTCTATGGGGTAGTTCTTTATTAATCGCTCCGGTTGTTTATGAGAATAAAATTGAAAAGACAGTATACTTTTCCGGTTTAAATTCAACAGAAAGATGGTATGATTATTATACGGGTAAAGAGGTGTTTCAAACAACTTCAACAACATCACTTGTAACCGTACCAGCTGCTTATGATTATTTACCATTATTTATGAGAGGTGGTGCAATTATTCCACACCAAAAATCAGCTATGAACACCGTTGCCAGTCGTTTACAATCAATGTACTTGAAAATAGCATTAGATACTCAACAAAAAGCTAAAGGTAATTTGTTTGTTCAGATGAAAAATATTTAAACTACATACGTAATAAATAAACATTAAACTTTTTTTGTAGGTGATTTATATTGGGACGATGGTGAAACTATAGATGCCTATGAATCGAATTACTATTCTTACTTTATCTTTAACTATGAGTCAAATCGTTTAACACTGGAACCATGGACATTCAAATATACCGATATTAAATTTTTATTAGATGAAATTTATATTTATGGTTTGACACTAAAACCTCAACGAATAACATTGAATAATCAAGAAATACCAACATCAAAATGGGAATATGTAGAAAACATGCAAACATTGCATATTGAGTCATTACAATTGAATATGGGTAAAACGCAAAAATTTGTTTTGACTTAAACAAGTCCCTCACGCTGGATACCTTATTCGTGTACACTAAAGATATGTCTTCTTTTCACCTTGCTATCTTCTAAGTATTTTTTTAATATCGTCTTTTTCTTGTAACAGTATTTTATATTTGATTTTCTTTTAACATAAATAAATGTAGGGTATCAATTTTTTTGATCACCAAATTTTTCGACATGTCTCATTCATACACAGCCGACCGTTCGCTTTATACAGAGACAAAGGCTAGACAAGATCTGACTGTAGTGCTCATCGATTTACAGTATTTGCCATGAATAAGCATGCGACAACAGCACTTTTCTTCTGGTGCTTGTATTATTGACATGAAAGTTAGGCGAAATTCTTCGAATTGCCTCAGTAGTTCGTATCGTGTCATGAAAATTATTAACACAGCATCAAAACGCTTCTTAATTAATATAAACCATTTTTTCGAAAATTAAATAAAATCATAAAGTATTATGCATAAAAAAAGCTAGAAACAAAATTTAGAAGTGAGTTATACTTTATAGAGATCTTTAGGATTTCTATTTCCAAGTCCTTGACTCTATGCCGTGTGTATAAGACTACAAAATGTCAGTACAAAGTATATTTTGTATACTATTCTTTATTTCACTCCTTTTCAAAGAAGACTACAACTACTAATGAACCTTTTCGGCCAGATTTTTAGGTCCATAAAGTAAGGCAAGCAGTAAGTAAAATACCGAGGAAGATGTCAGCAAAATAAGGGTGAAATGTGATTATTATTAAATATAGTGCACAAGAATAAAGAAAATAATACAATTCGATCCTACAGACACCAACACTGGATAAAGTATAGCGAGTATCGGGATGCTGAAAAACTTAATGATACTCTAAATTTATTTATTTATAAAAAGAGAAGTTAATGATATAATTAGGATATTCTTAACGCTAGAACGCCCGTAGCGGTCATTTTGACCGTTTTGTGATTTTTATCCTTAATAAAACAAACTGCATACAATTTATTTAAAAATAAATTATGTCATAACTTTTAATTTGTCCAACAAAAATTATTTTTTGCAGAATTGTTAATTCATTTGAATTTGAATCACCTACATCTGTTTTGACTAAACACTGCAAAATATCATATTTGCACATACTGTTCTAAGTTGAGACTGTATTATTTTATTTAGTATACAATACTTATCTATATACGATACTTATCTTTCGTTTGATATTCCACTAATCAAATACAGAATTCTCGTATACTATATACGTCTTTAGCATGTTTCGAAAATTTTCCTGTATTTGATTAGTGGAATATCAAACGAAAGATAAGTATCGCGTATAGATAAGTATTGTATACTAAATAAAATAATACGGTCTCAACTTAGAACAGTATGTGCAAATATGATATTTTGCAGTGTTTAGTCAAAACAGATGTAGGTGATCATCGATATTCTCACACTGCAGTTTTTTTATTTTCCAAGTATCCAATCTTTAAGATCATTAATGGTGAACTTCAAAGATGTACGATGAAAATGACGTTTTTTTTTTTACATATCCACGTAAATTTTACATATCCACGAGTGACCTTAATAAAGAATGGATAATCATACCACACAGTGGGCATATACGTAGACATCTAGAGAAAAATCGAAAGCACGCATTTTTGTGATTTGAATAGTGTCATGAATACTTCGTTCAACGCGCTATTGAACGGCGAAAAACATTTTCTTCTAGGTGCTTTCCTTGTCGGAAAAAAGTAAGTAACAAAATTAACGTAAAAGCTAGAACACTGTTCCGAGAAGTCTAATTACTATCGAACACATAAGGATTAGACAAAAAAAAGTAGGTATTCGTAATTCAGAATCTTTCTTCTTTAAAATAACGAAAACACTATTCGATTTGAGCGTATAGTTTTTGAACTAAACGCGTTTCTTTTGAACTAACAGGAGTTCTCGGACGATACCCGAATTGTAATGAGCTATCCAACTCTTTGGACAACTCAAAATTGGAACGAAATGTTCATTATCATGTCCTACATGTATGGTGCATGCGATTTGATGTGGGTTTTCTTCCGGACTTAGGTACAGGTTTTCTAAAGAACCGCCGGTTTTTAAGATATTTTTCATTTTTCTCGATCAAGAAACATTTTCGCCAAGAAAATAATGTGAGATTTCGAATCAGCGTCAAAAACTGCATCGAATGAAGTATAGTTTGTTAGTTTTACAAATAAAACATTTTTCGGCGTAAATTCAGGGCAAGGTCCCCCAAAGGGTTTTTTTAATCGAATAAATTTTTTATTCGAATTCGACTTTTTCCTTATGTAAATATCTGACACATAATAAGATTCTATTATACAAAAATGATTATTTTTTAACTCAAAAAACCAGATGTCCGCCGGCTCTACGGAAAAATGCCCACTGTGGTATACAGTGGGCGTTTTTCCGTAGAGCCGGCGGACATCTGGCTTTTTGTAAGTATGTTATAAGTATGTTTTTCTTTTTTAGATTTACAAAATTATTCACTATTTTCTGGTTGAAATATTGCAAATCAGTCTAAAGAATGTATAAGTAAGCTATATTACCGTTGTTAGTATGTTGAACATTGCTCAATGTAAACAAAAGACAGTTTACCTTGACGTTTTCTTGAAAAAATTTCAAAACTATGCTAATCGATAGAGCATTCAATTCTCTACAAAATGGCTTAAAGACTAGTTTTGCAGAAAACTCTTTTGGCTCTAAAACCTGTTCTAAGCATCGGAAGTTCGAAAAAATAAGCCATTTTGTAGAGAATTGAATGCTTTATCGATCAGCATAGTTTTGAAATTTTTTCAAGAAAACGTCAGGGTGAGGAAATTAAAATTACAAAATTTTAAAGCTTAAAATTTAAATTTTTGCGTTGAAGTTTTAATTTTTATAAATTTTACAATTGATTTTCTTGGTCAGCGTGAAAAACCCATCTAATGATGTGCCTTTCGATTTAATTAGATAGAAAATTGTTTTTGAAAAGTCAACAGTTGCAGTTCTCAACAGTTCCAGTTCTTACAGTTAAAAGCTGGAACTGGTGTATACGTAATCAGCACAAGTGAAAGAGAAAATCATTGAAACGGTATGCACTTCAGATTAAGACTTGGCCCCGCTGTTTTTTTTCTGCTATTTATGTTAGATTTCAGAGGAATTGAAGGCTGGCGCAGGTACAGCACAATATTTAGAAAAAGATGCATATAAAGCTGGACGTAAGTAAAATCTAATAATTAGTATCATAATCTAATTGAGCATTTAAATGAATACTTATGGCAATTTATTTGGAATATAGATAACCATGACCAATTCGCGAGTTCGTTAATTTTTATTGCACTGAATTTAAACATTTGTCGGACAGATAGATATTAACTCTGCTTGGCATGCTAAATATGCTTTGTAATAGTTTATTCATCAACTAATACCTCTAGGTAACTTGGTTGGTAGATTGGCAAACAGATTGCTGATATCAGTAGTGAATATTTGGGCGAAGCTGCTGATTATGCGAAAGAAAAAGCCGGTGATGGTTATGAAACCTCCAAAGATAAAGCTAGTGATTTATACGAAACTGGCAAAGTGAAAACGGTTGAAGAACTTGCAGCTGGAGATGAGGAAGGTGAGTACATTGGCCGATATGGATAGCTAAGATCTTCTAATAATACTGTATTTTTTATTTTTGAAGGTAAAATGGTCGATGAATGTGTTGATCAAGCAAAAGTTAAACTACAAGATGTAGCTGCTGATGCTTTGAAATCAGGTATGGAACGACTAATTATACAAGAGGCTGGGTTGCGTTTTTTATTCATTTGTATCGTCTTGACCGGATACAAATCTTGACAGTATTAGGAGACATGCTATAAAATCATATTGACTTTGAATTTTAGATCAAGATTTTGGCAAGGATTCACTGAAAACTGGTCAAGAATATGGCGAAGAAGCTGTAAAGCAGGGTCAGAAACTCGGTTAGTATTGTTCTGTAAATGTGAATGCTTAATATGATATCATTTATTTTTTTAGGCGAAAACAATATAACATATGAAACTGGTAAACAGTATGGTAATAAAGCATTAAAGCAAGGTCAGAAAGCAGGAAAAAGCAGGAGTAAATTTTTGGGAGAAAAGTAAAAACGATTTTAATAGTCCAAAATGTTGTGGACGAAAGATAATGAGCAGGAGAAAATACAAAAAGCAGGGGGACGTGCACTGCCTTACACCCCCTCTTCTACCACGGCCCTGGTAACAATTTAAATATATAAACATAAAACTAAGATAAATTCTCTATCTCCATGTCGTACCCTAGTCGAACATCTTGGAACCAAGATCTTCACATCTTAGATTTTTTCGAAAAGATCTTGGCAAGATCTTTGGTACAGAATGTCAAGATATTTTCGTTCCTAAGATCTTATGCATGATCTTGCGTACAAAATCCTAAAAATTATCTTGTATCCAAGATCTTGACTGTAAAATGACTTGTACCTAAGATCATGGCTCAAGATCTTTGATACAGAAATATTTTGACATCTTGCCCAAAGATCTTTGAGTAACCATTGGTTATCATTCACCGCCTTATTTTGGCGATGTCATCCTATATATGAACATCCTATTTTGTGTCTAATGTTATTATGTTTTCGTCGACAGCAGAGTCAAAACTCCATGAGGGAGGCATTAGGAATCGTTCATCCTAGCGGATGAAATGTTCACCACTGAGCAGTAAATTTTTTTTGTTCCCAACACTTGTTGAAAAAATGCAAAGAAAAAAAGTTATTGTTGAAATATGACGGTTTTTCAAATGTTCAAGATCCTGGGTACAAGATATCAAGAAATATCTGTACCCAAGGTCTTGCGTAAGATCTTGGGTACAAAAATGTTTTGAGATCTTGTACGTATTTTTTCAAGATCTAGTGCCAAATCTTAACGTAAGATCTTGGGCAAGATCTTGGTTCCAAGACGTTGGACTAAGGTAGTGCTTAGTGTTGAATCTCGTTTTTATCGTTGTTATTTTCTAATTTTTTCCTTTTCTTCAATTGCTATGTTTCATTCTGGCTCTCTTATTTTCGTCGTGGTCAACCCATTATTATTATCTGCGTTAATCAGGCAAACGAATTTTCACTCACGAACACTAAATTGATTATTCTGGATGAGACCATCCACGCATTATGTAATCAATTTTGGCCCCTATATACCTGTTGTTTTCCTCTTTTTGTATTCTATATTTTGCCTTCTAGCACCGATGATATTGCTGCATATTCTCTCCCTGTTTTTCATTTTGAACAAATTCTACGTATTAATGCTAGTATCTATTTTTCATTGAAATTATAATTTTAATGACACTTCTATTTAATTCAAATTACAATAACTCCTGCTAGCTATAGTTAGCAGAAGCAAAACAAGCAATTGTTTTTATTTTTATTCAGTCCCGATTTGTCGGCAGGTTAATTGATTTTCCTGTTTCGTCGACATTTTATAGCGTCGGTGCCTGACAAATATCTTTCATCTTTCCCCCAAAATGTTGTCGATTAATCAGGAAAAAACTAATGAGTCGACGATTCGGGACGATACCTTTTATTTTCACATCTTAACAAAATTATGAATCGGTTAAATGTGTAGTATAGTATGTATGGTTGCGTAGTATTGTTATTTTCGTGTTGGGACTTTTTAAATAAAAGCGTTTTTATGACATAGACTTAAAATGAGAGACGATTGTTACTTTTTATATCAACTACTTGCTTTTCACGGCTTTCCGTAATCGGTGTCTGACTTATGCAGGTTTGTAGATCTGATTAAACATAGCACGCTGTATACTCTTCTATTTTCTTGAACTTTTAAGATGAGTGCGGATACAATCAAACTTTCCTATAGAAAACTTTTTCCTCTTTATGAAAATTATTGTTAGTCATATTCTTTATCGCGAATTGATCTTAATTCCCAAGACCAGAACGTATTATTACACATTTCTTAGATTAAATGAGATTGTTTAATGTTGGAATTGTTGAATGAATGAATTTGTTAGTATATGAAGGTCTATTTCCTTTTGAAAATCTTGCTTACAAGGGTATATTTCAACACGCGAACTTTCATCTTTTGACGCATGTTTGAAAGATGAATCAACGCGAGTACCTTTTTGAATTGTGACGTGTCATGTTTCCAAAGTAAATGCGATGGGTTTTTTTCAGTTTATTTTTGCGGTTATTTAAAGAAGTGAAAAGAGAAGAAAAAACCATAATTGTATGCGTTCCCATCTGGTGTTTAATACAAAAAAAAGATAGTACTATGTGCGTAGACAGGTCAGCATGTATGCGCTCTCATTTATTACCAAGCAAAATTGCACAATATAAGGTCAGAAAATAACAACACCAATCATATTTCATCATATATCCGCTCTGTTCTTATGCAATCCTTTTCATTGCGTTTATGATTATAGAAATTATTGAGCAATTCAGTGTTTGTGCTTTCATCAGCATATTTGTTAGCTTAACAAATCGGATTTCTATTAGTTCACTTTAGTTAAAAGTATTTTACTTTCACCAAAAAAGGAAATATTTTTTTTGACAATATTATCTTTTACAGTATTCAGTCTAGGGTATTCTACCAGTTTTTCTTAAAAGATTAAAGTGTTTGTATGAATTTTGCTCTTTATGTGAGTTTCACTAATTTTAGAAACATTTCTTGTCTATAGAAGAAGAATATTTGATGGTATATATCTCATATATGCGTTATCAGCTGGTAAACGGTTCATGATTACTAGCGGCAACGATGCCATTTATACAAACACCTAGCCAATAAACAGCAACTTCATTAAGCTGGACGCGTGCAATCGGTCGATATATGTGCGACGCAAAAATTAAGCGCAAAACTAAGTTTTACGGTTAACTTTTGCGTCTAATTTAAGATCAAGTCCTTGAATACTTAGCAATTTTCCAAAATACTTGTTCAAGTATTCCAAAATCACTTGCTAAGTACGTGAATCACGTGTGAAATTACATACTAGTACTTGTGAGTTATGTATAAGTAAAATTACGTGTGAAAAAGCCAGAGTTACATTGGCTTCATTACTTAAATCAAGCACTTTTTCGAGTACTTCGTTTCCAGTACATTTACTACAAAATCTTACTTTCAGTTAGTGAGTTAATAAGTAATTTGGATTTGATTTAGACATTTGCAATAGTTTCTGTTCGATCTCTCAACAATGACGGAAATTAGTGTTATTTTTCTTATTAAATTCAAAAGCGGTCTCGATCAGCGTCTCTAACAGAATTTATCCACTGAGCGTACGAGTATGCTCACTATTTAAAGGTTATTTGAAACACAAAAAAACAACAGAACAAAAGAGAAAAAAACAAAACCACACGTATGTACATTGTCTGTTTTTTGTTTACTAATAGACTTCATACTGTCTCTTTTATTTCTTCTTCTTGCTATCGCAGTTTACGGTAGCAAAGCGTAAAACAGAGCGTATCCGAAGCGTATCTACGCTTTGATATAGTAAACACCTTTTGCTATTAGTAACACTGGTCTCGGTAGGAGGAAGAGTTTCTAGTTAAGACTAGATATGGATAGAAATTAGATCTCTCGAAGCTTGAACTCCGAGACCATCCTGAATTTATTTCTATTCTAAAAACTTCCGTATCCCCGCAGAAAATTTTCAAACTCTTTCAATTCTTTTTAAATTTGGAGGTCATGGTTTTCATACACCGTTGGTTACAATTATGGCATATAATTCGAACTTTTAACTTGAACCTAATCCAAACAAATTTCCCCTGACTGACGATGGAATATTCCCGTGTGTCCGCTCGCTTTTTTCTTGAAACTTATTTGATATCAGTTATGTTTGATACTGACTACGAGTATGTTCCATTTTAATGCAAAATTTACCGTAAAAAAAAGCTGGAAAGTTATACTTATGCAAGAAGTCAGATGGTAAATTTTCTGTAACTCATCGAAAACGTGTGCGATAGTTTTCTATGGGTAACTTCACGACCTTTGCAAACTGAACTGATCAGAATTCGTCCATCATGGAGTTTAGAATAGGTCGTCAGAGACTTATTTTCAGAGATCCACCTCAAGAAGTCGAATCGACTAAAATGAACAACATATTCGTAGTCAACATCAAACATAACCGATAATCAAGAAGGTTTTCAGGAAAACGTGAGCGAATACTTAGAGAATATTTCCTGCTGATTGAAAGTATAATGTTTGTTCAGGCTCGAATCTGCACGAACGAATTGTAATTTTTTTACCTTTCATCATTCAATTGGATGATCAGCTGTTATGAAATATACACGATAAAATAGAATAAACACATCGTTCTTTCATTTCGATATCAAAGTCATCATCAGGTGACGATGTAATCGTGCATATTTTTATTTGTTCTTTAAAACCAACTTGTTTTTTCATTTATTTTTTTTAATGTAAATTTGAGTTATGTATCAGGTGATACATTCTTTTAGTATTTCGTCCGTATAATAAATATAATGCTGTCAGAGAAAAATGAAATGAAAATGAAAAATGAGAGATCTCAAGAATAAACATTTTTTCTGTACTATTTTAGATAATAAAACAAACGAATATGTAGTGAACTACGACCTGTATACATCTTATTTTGCATATTTTGAATATTTATTTATAAATAATTTTTTTTCCTAGTTTATATATATATAAAAATACTAATATCTCGTATTTATTAATGTTAGCAATATGTTGTACTTATTTCGTGTGGATATTGGTGATACATATACATTCGAGACAGATCTAGCGTTCAAAGAGTAAGTATTCAATGTTTTTTCATACACAATCATGTAACAGCTGAGAAAAAACTTTTCATATGATACCGAAAAATGTTCTACAGATTTTTGTTGCATACATCGAGTCAAAATCAAATTTCTGCTTCTAATTCGATATTACTGAAAGAAAGTACATTAATTTACTTTTTTTAATTTATTTATTTTTGCATTACAAGTAAAGTGGCAAGCGAACCCATTCACGAGCATAATAGTGAACTGTACCATTAACTCCTGATGATATAAGAGGGACATTTCTGTAAATATAAGAAAACAACAAGGGGAAAGATGAAATCGAACATAACATCTATTTTGAAGAAGAAAAAAAAGAATAAAACAAAGAAATTTACTTTTCATCATGAAAAAAAGTTGTTAATTTGGATGCATTCTCATTTTATGTTATTCGTTTAAGTGGTTGTTTTTATTTTTTGTAGTGTTAGAGAATAAATATCAGTTGTATGTTTCAAACGTTAAGTTTTCTTTTTAGTGTAAAAACATTGAAAACAGTAATCGAAGAGAATTATGGAATACCGAGATCAAAACAAATTTTGTTGATTAGTGGAGGTGAATTATTAGATGATGATGGTGCTCAAGTTTGTATGAAGACGTGTGCGGGAACGGTATGTAGAGTGAGATCGGTGTCTTTTAATCTTTTTAATAAGTTATTCTTTCTACTTAATTATTTAGGAAGAAAATCCAATTTATCTATTAGACAAATCACATTTAGAACGTTCTAACCCGTTACAAATACGTTGGACAACAGATATTCCATCTATTGAGAATCATACATTAGAACAATGGTTAAATATGACACCATCTTATGAAACAGTAGTAGAAAGAGCAAATACAGCACAAGTAAGAAATTGAATCATCTTTTCTTAGATCTGTTTGTTAAGATTTGTTTTATTTTTTAGTTGTTCAGCAACTATGCAAATCAGATAGTGCAACGATGCGAAAATTTTATTCATGAACAACATCAGCAATATCAGGGATGGATGGCTGTTATTGCAAATGTTGAAGATACATTATCGTATGTAGTGCTATAAATGATTATTTGCGTTTATTTTAATGTATCCTTTTTTTTACTTTTTTCTAGAAGTTTTTTGTTAAATCGTGACTCATTTTTTCGATTATATAACCAATACTTACTTGATCGACCGTCTTATGAAGAATTATTTAAAAGGTAATTAAATTTATTTTCAAAGTACACATATCACACTATAGAAATATCATTTTTTAGTATTCCTCATACAATCGATCTTTTACAAAAATTATCATTACCAACAAAATTAATTGAACAAATGCCTCTTGATTGTTTACAATCAACGATAACATCTCAATCAAATATTCAACGAACAATAACAAGTACAGCATCTTCATCATCGATAACATCATCGATTTCGGAGACAAGTACAACTAGTGTACCAACATCACAACAACAATCAGTTACAACTCTACTAGCAGAAGGTGAAGATGGACATCATCATCATTTACAACACTATGAATCGTTATATGAATGGATAACTGCACAAGTAAGAGTAAAATGAGAAAATATTTTTTTTCAATAATTACATTAGTTCTTTTTTTTCTAGTTAGCAAATATGAAACTACCAAATATTGTGAATGGTTGCATTAGTGCCGTTGAAGAAGTAAGATTCAATTATTTTTGAATTTTTAACTATTATAATAGAAAGAACATTTTCTATACTTCCTATTGTTTTAAAATATTTATTAAAAATTTCATTAATTAATTCTATCTATTCTAGTGTACAGAAGAACTTGGTATAATGTTTAACAATGATATCAATACATTAGCGGAGAAAATATCTAGTCATGATTTAAAAAATATGACGGGCATTGAAGAACGCTTTAGTTTTTTACAAACTGAACTTGAACAAGCACTGTCATGTAGACGAGAACAAAAAGATTGTGCTGAAGTATGTTTCTGTCTCTCACTACCATCTTTTACATAAATATATATTTTTGTTTTTAGTATATTGCTAGTCAACGTCAAACATTAAGTACAAGTATTCGGAATCAACGTGATATGACATTAGTCAAGGATATTTCTCGTATACATCGTGAAAATTTAATGGGTATTGCTAAACGTCATGCCAAATTACTTGAAATTGAGAAAAGAATATATAAATCAAAACAAGATATAATCAAACAATTACATTTAAGATTTAAGTAAGTAGAAAAATTGAAAATATACGTTATAATAACAACTATTTATCTACTGTTTTTAGAAATATAATGTTTTTACAACGTCAATTAGTAGATTATGATGCAAAAATCTCTCTCTATATCAATAAATTACAACGTTTGAAAAAGATGACACAATTTTTAAAACAATTAAGACAATCACCGTCCATTTATTTTACATTTCTTTTTGAATGTTTAAGACGAAAAAAATATTCTACAATCTTTAATCAAGTATGTATATTTCTAATGATGATAGAGTAATAAAATTGCAGAATAAATAAATATGTTTCGACATACCTTACTCATCTGAAGACAATACATCTTTATTTATTTTCTTTTTTGTTTTAGTTTTTACAAACTATTGCTAGAGAATCAAAAATTGTTTTTAATGATGAAGTGAATCGACGTGAACAGTTTCTAAAACAGTATGGTATGTTTGTTTGTTGATAAATAATTAATAGTTTTTATTTTTTTTTATTTGTTTGTTTTTTTAGACAACCATTTTCTATTTAATTTATTTCCCGGTTTAAAAGTGATACCACACTTTTTCATTGTACGTATAGTAGATAAAAGTCATTGTTATATTTTATGTAATCTAAATTAATTTCTATGTTAGATTGAACCTATTCGTTTATTGGATACAACAATTCCAGATTTTTCTTCTGAAGAGTTAACACATGTATTTGATACGATTCCAGAAATAAAAGAGAACAGGTAAAAATGAGAGTAATTGATTTTTCTAACAAATTGATAAATGTACGTTAGAATAAATTAGTCTATCTCTAAAACTAGAATAATGAGAAACTTTATTCGGACACGACATGTTCACTTAAGCATTTTTGTCTGTTTACATCTATTTATTTTATTTTTTTATTTTTTGTCTAGTACGATTGCTTACACAAATGATTCATCTATTGATTTATTAAACATGATTAATTGTACAAAATTATTTACTGAACAAGAGTCTTCGCCACCCTCAACTACATCTAAGAATGATACTGCATTGACAACAGCTATAACATTTCCCACATCGCCTTCGAGTAGTCGTTCAACTGTTCATTCTTCATCACATTCTGACACTGAAAATGATACAACACCAATACCTACTCCAGCTACATCAAAATCAATTATACATTATACATTTTCAAATAATGATAAAAATATCAAAGAATTTGTTCATGAGATTAGTAAAGATGATCAATTATTTAAGGATAATAGTACAGTAAATAAACAAAATAATGATACGCAAGCTGATACAGGTAATTTGCGAAATAAATAATCTTAATAGAATATCTAGTAGTTTCTATCATTATGTTGTTTATTTACTTTTAGAAAATGGTTCAACTGTTTTATCTATGAAAAGTGAAAATACATCAGAACAATTAATATCCGATGAAGATGATCAACAACTTATTGATGAATCAAATAATACGTTGGGTGATGATTATATTCAATGTAGTTTAGATGCTGTTTATGGTCCAACAGAAGTTAAAAATGAAGATGATGTTGGAATACGGTCAACATCTTTGACGGTCCATGATAGTGCAATACAAACAGAGTCATTAGATATTTTTTCAAGTCAGTCGATACAAACACTTGAAACATTAGTCAAATCACTTCGTATCAATCATGAACAAATGAAAACAAATTTTGAACAAGATAAATCGAATTATACAGATCTTATTCAAAACTTTCGTTATTTATTTGATCATACAATAGTGAAATTTATACAAACTCTACAGGAGAAAGTTGAAAAACAAGAAGAATTAAATGAACAATTGAAACATGAATTATCAACACAAACAACAGACAATGAAACATTGAAGGTAATAGATTTGAATATAGTAGCACAGCAAGATTAATATTCTACTCTAACATAGTCTTTTTTTTTATGTATTAATTTGTAACACTTCTAACACACTAGGGTATTTCTCTTTTCATTTTTTGAGTAATATTTTGCTTACACCATTTTTATGACGTTTACACATTGTTGACTTTTAGATTCAGTATGACCTATGTCATCAATCAAAAGTTGAATTAACAGGCAATTTTAATAAATTACAGGCAGATTATGAACAATATAAAAAACAATCAGACAATGAAATACATCAAATTGTTCGTGCATTAAACAGTGATTTTGAATTTGAGTTAGAAAAAATTCGTACTGAACATGAAATAACAAAAAATGATTTAACTATACAAAAAGATAAATATGATAAATTAGTTAATGATATGAATTCTGAACAACCAAAAGAAAATGTCAGCCAAATGTCCATGCAAACGGATATAATTGAAATGAATGATGCAGAAACGATGGTTGAAATTGCATTTACGGATAATGGAACACAAACAACAAAAATTGTGAACGATGATAAAGAATTACAAACAATTTTCACAAGACAAGAGGATAAAGGACAAGGTATGCAAAAGGAAAGAAAGCTCTTTGTGTAATGATTCGATATCTGTCGCTTTTGTGTGTTTTTTAGAACAGCAACAGTCTGTTACGATGTCTATTTCTCATCCATCCACAACAATAAAAGAACAACAGAATCAGTTCAATCAAGCGATTCAGCGTGCTGTTCAAAATGCAACAAGTCAAAAAACCAAACAAATTAATGAATTAGAAAAACATTTATTAGATAAACGTCGAAAAATTCATCAATTGGAAGAACGTATTAAAAAATTGAAAAATTTCTATACATTTTCAACATCACAAACAAATTTACTAACTCATTTAACACCAATGGCGAGCTCTCCACCTGCAAATATAGCCGGTCTAACGTCAACACCAACTGATGGAAGTGATGATGAAGAAGAAGAGAGTATAAATGAGGAAACTTTATTCGATCAAAATGTAGGAGCGAAACAAACATCAACAGTGACGGATGAACCATTAATGTCAATCGATGAAAATGACGATACAGAAAGGGAGGAAGAAGTAGATGAAAGTTTATATCAAGAAGAAAAAAACGATAAACAACGACAGTTTATGTCAAGAAGTGAACCAATTAATATGCCACGAACATTTATTCAGCAAAGTGTTATGAGTAGTGGATTGGCTGTACAAACATCATCCCCATCTGCAACAAGGTATGTTCAAACATGCTTTGTATCGTACAATACGTGTCACATGCATTTAGTATCAACAGAATGAAAGCAAGTGTATGATTTAATCATGGCGGAGAGAAAGAGTAGAAAGACTACTGAATGAAATAGTCAGAGATACTTTTAGTTGTTTGACTACTCTATCCTAATATTCGTGCGTCTGTTCAGACTTTCTTTTTTCGAAGATTCTAATATAATAGCGCGACCTCTTATTTTCTAGTGATCTACAGCGTAAATTATCACCAGGTTTAGCATCATTAGGAATAACGACGACGACAACGCCGTCAACAATGACAACAAATTTCATTGAAACATTTACATCTTCATTAAAAATGTCTCCAACTGATTATCAAAGTACATACGAGTTGTACACTCCATTTGCTGCTTCACCTGGTGCAATGCTTAACACGACTAGTCTCTATGGTATGAATACAACAGCTGACTCAAGTTTAACGGAAAAAGTTTCAAAAGCGTTGGAATCGTCATCATCTGCTACTCTTACATCACCAGCTGAAGGACGTTTACCGTTGACAACAGCGTCATTAATATCATTCTATTCGGTTAATCGTTTGGATAAAGTTATTTTATATTACGAGCAAAAATATCAACAATTTATCATATATACTCTTCTCTCTACATTACATTTTGTTCATTCGGACTGTCATGAACTATTAGATATTAACAAAGTCGTTGCACCAAATGTATCAACAACAGCAGAAGGTACTGATACATTAGTCAATAGTTCAATAACATCCGCACCGGCAATTAACACAAATCAACCAATATTAGCAGAAGTTACGGATAAAGAATATTGTCAGGCAAAAAAGGTAAATAATCGTTTCAATGTGCCATTGGGTACAAAATTTTACCGTGTAAGAGTTAAACCATGGAAACCTGTACCACAACGTAACAAAACGGATTCTTGATAAAAACACTCAGCCTAGGTTCTCATTTGTGTTTGCGTGTCTGTCTTTTTTTCTAACAAAAGAAACAATATCTGTTATGGTGCTCTTTTGATGTTACTTTCACATTGTTCTTTTTCGTTTTTTTTCTATTAATGTACATACTCAGGAAAACGTTGACAAAAGACTTTTTTTTATTTTGAAATAAGAAAAACGTTTAGCCTGATTATCCAATATGTCTGGTAAAGTGGTTAGTAATGGTAGCGTATCATAGAAGAAATAATGATTTCCAATACTTGCACAGAGTCCTTGATACAGTTGAGATACTTATTGCCGAAAATTACTAAAGAGATCGAAAAGTCACTGTTGTGTTTGGTTATTGTGGTTCGTTTTGTACGTTTTATACTGTACAACTGAACGTATTTTATGTTTAGAAATAATCAAAAGTTAATATTTAATTTGTTTGCGTTTAGTTCCATGTGTTAATCACACATTTTTCGTGTTTTCTTATTTTGAAAATCTTCCTTTTTTTCACAAATCCGTCCTTTGTTGTTGTTCTTTTCTGTCACATGTTAAACTGTTAATTACAGAAATTTTCTATCTTCACCTCTAAGAAACAAGTACTTTCTTTTACAGGTGGAGGTGTAAAATCATACATAGAAATAAGGCGCTTCTTTTTCTAATCAATTGTATATTTAACTGCGCATTATTTGTACTAATACGGGATTGCCTATACATTTCCATGCACACTTGCGCATTTTTAACATCACGAGAAAATCATCAGAGAATATTCTGAAAAGATCTCCAATTAAAATGACGTTTTTCTCGTTCTTTATTTTTAAACAACGAAAAGTATACATTGTTTAAGTTTTGGCGCTTTAAAACAGAAAAAAACGTTATTTTCATCGTACAATTTCGAGAATATTCCTAGGTAGATTGAGTCAGTAAATTGACTTTGTGCATTTCACCTTTTTGTCCGATCGCTGACATGAAAGTGATTAAGATAGAAAATTGCTTCGATCTTGATGGGTGTTTTTTGTGTTGTATACACCTGAATAACGTTAGGCCACGTTCACACTACAAAAGTTAAATGAGCTAAAACGTATTTGATTGGTCAGAAAGTTAACTCTGAGTTAAATGATGTTTAGGACATCATTTAACATTAACTCTCCCAATCAGAAATGAGCTCGGCAATCAATAATATGGTTCCATTAGACAAGGGCGGTAGTGCCAGTTCTGTGAGGAAACAAAGATCTGACTCTCTACTCAATTTTTCTGTTTTGAGCTTAGAAAGTCAACTGTAGAACGTAAATTCAAACCGGCCGGCTGCTAGCCAGCCGCAACCTCTAAGAATACTGAAGCCAGGAAGCAGCACAATTTTAGGAGAAATGTCAAAATCTTATTGGTATGTTAAAGATTTAGGTGTGAACGCTCTCGAAGTTACCTTCGACTCTGAAAAATTTGTAGTGTGAATCTAGTTTTAGCTTCTTTAGTAATAGTCTACTCAGGCAGAAGAATGCGCAAGAGAAAAAAGCAAGACTTAAGTTGAAAAGTTTACCTACAAATCAGCTGAATGTTTTGTCAACAATAACATAAGAAATTTTCTTGCAATGAGGATATATAATTCAATTTATAAAAAAATCAAAGTATTCATTTTTTCAAATTAAAATTGGGTGATACGTAAAATTTTGTGCATAAAGCAAACCACATGCAAGAAACGCATTATTCATTGAATTAAAATTGAAGAAAAATATGAAAAAGAAATGTCTGTTAAAGTCATCCTTAATTTAAGATACATTATGTCACACGCAGGATAACACATTATATTGGACTTTGAATTTTAATGGACTATAATGCAAGAGGAGGAAACAGCATCTAGTGCCGATTAGGGTGCTGAAAGATGCTGTAAGGTACTGCCTTGCAAAACATAAGATGGTAGGATCGAATCACGTAGTGCACGGATCCCCCCTTGCTGTAATGGCTTTTTAGAAGTCCAACAAAATCCATTGGAATTTGATCTCGAAAGTTCATTAAAACCTGTTGAAGTGCCCGAAAGTCTATTAAATCCAAAAGTAGTTTCTACAATAATTATGTCACAAATAGATGGAACTATTAAACAAATTCTTATGCTCAAAATTCATGGATTCCATCCGTTTATCAAGAAACATATCTTTATTCGCCGTTTCATACCATTTTAAATTGATTTTATCTTAACGTTCGTTCTCATTTTATTGATCACTTGTAAACGTTCAATCAGTCGCGAATACAGATACGTAAAAAAAGGCTCACTTCATCATTCAGTCTAATTTTAAGTTCGTCAACATGGTGCATCATTTCATTTAGTTTTACACGTATGGTATTAACTCAACACCAATAACAAAGTATCGTCATTAGCACATACTTTTAACGTAGATTTTTCTCGTTTATATACGTCAACACCATGCACGTGCCAGAGAGGGCCGGGAAATTGTTCCTGAAGAAATTTGCGGAATTGCCACTTTCTGGAACTGACAGCAGTACTAGTTAGCTACTGTAAAGAAGCTGAAATTGAACTATAAAAGACATTTAGAAACGATTTGGGATCAAATTTTGGTGTGATTTAATAAATTTCGTTGCCTTAAAACAAACACAAAAGGGGAGCGCTACAACACACGGGCGAGTGGTTATAACGGAATTTATCAGCATCATGTATTCGAGTATGGCTCGAAAATTAAATATTTATTTCAACATTGTTCGAAATCTTTCAGGTTGGATTCTGACGTCTAGAAGGAAGCATATAATGCGACAAACGGCAGTACGACAAGCTCGAGGCTCAAATAATATTAGAGAAAGGGATGAGATTCAAACATTGCCTGAAAATACGAGGAAATCTGTTTTTGTTTTAGCACTGCTGTGATAGAATATTTACGATGCAACCTTGTTGGAAGCAGGAAGTAAATGTTGGTTAGTTGATGTCAACCGTCATACTTAGTACTGTAGCCCAATTTATTTATCCAAAGGTGTTCGGACTAGAGATCTAGTTCAGGCACTGTTGGGGAACACTCATATGTCTTCCAGCACTGCTTTAATATTGCTGTATTGAATAGAACTGCCCAAAAATTTGTCCCTATACTACTTATCCGTAATATCGCTATACTTTAAAAATCAAAGATAAGAATTATAAGAAAACGAAGAGTCTGTCTACTGCTGCATGAAAAAAATTTCGATCCGCCCGTCAATCATCCTGGACACACGTGCCGGGTCAACATTGAAAGTTTACACACGAGTTAAGTAATAGAAAATGAAAGAGGGTGACACTAGCGATGTATTATATGTAGAATGCAACGGTTTAACTGGTTGGAATATCATCAAGTTTCATTTTTTAAAGAAATAAACAAGAAGTCATCAGGACCCTTTGTATTGTTTCAAGTAGATGTCATAATTGTACAATATACTATGAAGTAAAGACGAATGACAATATTACTTTGAACCTCTCCTATTGACAACTTCATACGGGTAGTCGTGTGACTTTTGTATTTCTCTTTTTTTGTTTCTTTTGTATATACTCATGGCGGTTGAGTAGAATACATCGCCGTTGTCTTCATACTCTAATTCACAGAGAGAAAAGACACTTGTCAAGTAATCCGAGACACATGCCATGAAGCAGAGAGATATTTTTGATAGAAGGAAGGAAAAAAAGAGAAAAAAATGTAGAAATAAAAAGGCGACGACGACCCTGAAATCTTTTGCCAGATATAAATAAGACAAACAAGACATTAATCGTAAGTCTAGCTCTATGAAAAACATATTTAGACGTGACGTATAGTTTTTTAAAATTTTTCTAAAGTGAATGCAACTTGTCCTTCCCATCATTTTGTTTGTTTTACTCAAAAATCTTCCTCTGTTTGCCTTCTAGAAATATCTGTAACCAATCAGAATAAACAACAAAAATAAATAACATAATTCATTATAAAAATTCAACTCTATCATGTGGTATCACTATTAATTACTTGAACAGCCGAAAAACGGCCAGTTTAATTTATTTATCATAGACAACTTTTTATATATTTCTTGTATAAAAATGTCAACAATAAAAATATGTCAATATGTTGTACTTGGTAAAGGAAGCTAAATTATATTGAATGAAAGCAAGTCGACGACCCTGGTGCTTTGAAGACAATAACAACAGCTCGAAGAACGTTAAATACCCATTTTTGCAGGTAAAAACTAACTATCATTACTTTTCTATTTCTACTTCTGTTTAGTGTGCGATTTTGCTTGCACATTCCTTTCTTTGCTGTTTTGATTAAAGATGCCACTTTCCCTTTATCATTACTGTAACGGGTAACGAAAACCCGTTACCCGTTTCTAGTAACGGTGAGCAAAATCCGTTACTTGTGTTACTTCTGGGAAAGTAACGAGTAAATTATTTTTTTTGTTGAAATAACCCGTTAATTCGTTTGTTAGCCCTTTGAAATTTACAAACATTGAATTAAGGGATAGATTTTTGTTAGTTCGCCCATGAGGAAATTTTAGTATTTAAAACAGCGTATGCACTCGTGAATATCGAGAAATGAACTGTGCTCGCACAGGGACATCGTGCAGTGTGTGGGAACGTGTAAAAGATATAATCCACTTGTGACAAGGCGTGAAATGCTCGCGGAAACTTTTCGCGTCATATTTTTCGTACGTAGTCGCTAGTGGAGGTCGTAAAATGATGTGTGGACACACACATGGAAAGAAACTCATTTGTGAAGGAGTGTCAAATTATAGAAAGTTCACACGTGACCACGCATGTGATGTTGCAACTGCACGACTCCAACGTCGTGAAACTTCGAGAAAATTTCTCCATGGGCGGTGATACAAGCAGATTCTAATATATAGAGTTTAACAAATAAATAAGGGATTGTCGAAGTTCACATTTTCAGATGATAAGTGGATCACGTGTCTTTTTTTAGCGAAATTGGATCTTTCAGTGGACTATGAAGTAACGGCGGCGCCAGCAATTTAGACTAGGCTGGGCTCAGGCCCCCCGAATTTTGACCAGGGTGGGTGCGGCCTCACTGAATTTTGTAATATAGTCCAGAGAAAAATTTTCTGGGTGGGCTCAGAATATTTTAGGATGGGGTGAGCCCACCCCAGCCCACTTGTGGCGCCGCCGCTACTATGAAGTTAAAGAAAAGTTTAATTAAGTGTATCGTTCATTCAGTCTCTCAAGTTCTGGTAGATTATTCATTATTGAAAAGAAATATATGACCCATGGTCTTACAAAAAAAATGTGCCTTTCCTCTCATCTTAAAGTTACCTATTTGCTCGATGTATGTGTTTTCATGCATGTTAGCACAGACAAAAAGATTTTAATTTTTTAATATGTCGGTGTGCATTCTTTACGCCTTTGACTAACAGGTATGTTATGTTTAGATAAAGATTTTTTATCATTTTAAATATAAAGCAGCTGATTTGCTCATGTATCATAAACACCAGATGATTTATGACATACATTCTTTGTCAGAATCACTTTGTTGTTTGATAAGAAAAGCATCGGTTTTACTTAGTTACTTTGATTAAAGTCCCAACCGAAGACTGAGTTATTTATCAGTGAACCTAAGAAAGCTGTCTGGTTTTCTATCAGGCGAACTGGGGAGAAGTTTAATGAATACTTTATATTCCTGATCTAAGAATCAAAACTCTAACCAACAGTAAGATGGATGAAGGATGATTTGTCAAACTAATTCCGAAGATAAGACAGATTTTTTTCTAAAGAGATCTGACAAAATTATAGATAGTCTGTTTACTGTAATTTGTTCGAAGGATACTCAGGTAACGACCCATGAATACTAGACTGTGTGATAGACAAATACATAGTTTTCATCTATTTTTCGACTGCTTGAAGAAGAAGTTTTAATTCGAATATCAGAATTGTGTCCCTTTTCTGAACTACTTCGTTCGTCTACGATGCTTTCATTCTGGTTTTGATGCCACTTTTTTGTTTATTTCTATTCTAGATAACGGCAATCAATCACATCTTCAGTAATGGTGGTTATCATTGGTTTAAGAACACAACCGTGGAACAATTTAACACGCACACTCGAATATTTATGTAGTAAAGAAGAGCGAACATGGAAAAGCAGAAAATTTAATCAAATGCGACTAGTATGTATCTGTAAACATGTTTTCCTGTATATATTTATATTCAAGATCTAAATTCTCTTTAACATATGGGGAGCATTTTTTATCTTATTTTTCTATATGCAGAGTTGTTATGTTACTTTCAATCAAATAATGAGAAGAAGAAAAAACAAGATTTTCGATGTGTATTCTTATAGATAAACAGAGTAATTTAGCAAAAGAAATGTCACAAAAAGGAGAAGAAATAAAAAATAACGATGTTTTTGTTTTTGTTTTTTTGTGATGGTTGAAGAGATATGTCGGTATATAACATATGATGATATTATGAAAAGACGAAAAAAAAGTGTAAATAATTAATAATCTATCCTTGAATTTTTCGAAGAATGTCAGCATGACATAAATATACCAGAGGCTGTGAAGCCGATGAAATAGGAGAGTGAATCGTAGAACTAAAAATTTATTGTAAATATCTATACTTTCCAGTAAAAGTTAAGTCAGGAAATAGGACATATTAGTTTGAATAAAGCTGTAGATAAGGCTCTATGTAAGCATAAAAACGTTCATAGTCCACGCTAGATGGAAAGAAAAAAAATGAGTTGTTTAAAGGAAAATTATAAGATAACATTTATTTTCATTTAGGACGAAGTTAGTTGTACGCAACGTAATCATGTTGTTTTTTGGTTACGAAAAGTTGCTGTATCAATGAATTTTGGAGCAGATACATTTGCATTAAGTGTCGATTTATTAGATCGATTTCTAGCAACATTAAAGGTATCTAGCAAAGAATTCTAGAAAAACTGTTGAACTGAAGAATTTGAATGTTAATATCAATTTGAATGAATATTTCTTGAATTTACAGGTTCGTCCAAAATTTTTGGAATGTGTCGCCGTCGGTTGTTTGTATATAGCTGCTAAAATAAAAGAAGAAGATGATATGATTCCAATAACACCTGAATTTGTGATTGATTGCAATTCATCTTGCTCAGCAAATGAATTATTAAGAATGGAGCGTTTAATACTGGAAAAGTTTGAATGGTACGCTGATTATGTTACATGTGTAGATTTTATGCAAATTGTAAGTTAGAAACTAGTTTTTATCACTTATGTAGTCTAATTTTATTATTTCCTTTTAGTATTTTGCATTGTTATTACAAGTTGTATGGGAGGAAAATTTTACAAATGAGCATATGATTGAAAAATATAAAGAGTTAGAAATAAAATTATCGAGTTGTCTTCAGTATCATCGTCTTGCAAGTTTTAAACCACGTGTATTAGCTTTAGCTTTGATTAGTATTGAACTTGAACAGCAACAACAACAAACAAATATCGATTGGTTAGCTTGCATTAGTTACTTACAAAGACTTGCTAAGGTATGTTAAACTTTTATTTCTTGTATAATAAAGGAATAGATCTTAAGATTTCAAAAGATTCCATTTTCTAATCCTAACTTTGTTTTTTTGTTGCTACTAGAGGATATATATAACTTACTCAAAATTCTAAGAACTATAAGTTATGGATCAAATGGTTGAAGTATTTACTGAAGCGCCGCTCGATAGAGAGAGACAGAGAGAGTAACGAGTAATGTTGTCTGATTCAATGTCTACATAACTTGACAACTACACATTTCTGTTGAAATATCATCTCTTTTTTTCTTCTCATGAATGATTAGATTTCTTTTGTTTATATCTTAAGGATAAACAGATAACATTCGCATAATAACCGTGACATTTTCAAAGAAATTCCTGATCTTGACGGTCTATTTTTCTCGTCTAGGTTGAAAGTGAGTCATTATTACAATGCCGTGAATTGGTTGTTCGAGTACTAGTTTACAAAGTTGTACGATTAGAATCAAGTGATTTAGCGTTTATCTCACGTGCTGCTGCTGTTATTAATGATTATAATTTGTTAAATACACTCCTGATGAAATCAAATGTTGTTAGTGGTGGTGATAACATATGTGATCGTCGTCCAACCTATGCTGATGTTGTATCTGGTCGTGTTCAAACATCAACATCTCCCATTATATCGTGTGCAACACAATTGCAAAATGAAGATCAAAAAATTATCACAACACAATCATGTACAGTACAAACAAACCTTTATATCAAAACACATTAATACACCTACTCCACTTTTCTCTTCTCCTTTTCTTTCTTCATAGGCTAAAAATTTATTCATAACAGAGAGCAGCATACTAAGCCATTTTTTTTAACACATCAAATTTTCTCTTTTTTCTTTCATTTTTGTGTTTATTTTTGTACAATTTGTTTATTTTCGTACAGTATGTTTATGTTTTGGTATTTAGTGCGAACAAAAGTAAAAAATGCAAAACAAAAAAAAACTTGCAAAAAAAAAAATCTAAGCCAAAATCATAAAAATATTGTTTTTTTCTATTTGTATCATTTTTTCTCGTCTTTAATTTGACGTCGTATGTCTGATATGTATATCTAAAAAAACAGAAACAGCGTAGGAGTACATACATACCCCACATATAGTTTAATAGTTTCATATTTTTGCTTTTTTTCTGTTTTTTGTTATTTTTGTGATCTTTACATCATTTGTACACCTCATTTCTTTTTTTTTCATTTGCTGATGTTAAACAGTGGTTAGTTTATGTGGGAAAAGAAACATTTTTGTTGTTTTGTATATAGATCCGTGTGAGTGTATTTCAGAACAAACTTTTGTGTAAAAAATAATTCTTTGTGACTAGTCATCACATTTTATGCCAGTGTTGTCATTTTGTTATTGTCGTTAAGACATGATGTTCACATCCCGAGAATGGTCTGTGTTCAGAGTCGTACAAATGTGTCTTTTTCTTTGATTCTTCTGTTCTATAATAGCTATTTTTGTGCTCATAGTTCCCCACTTAGTGGACGCATTCATTCCACACGGTTTCTAGTGTTTTTTCTTTTTCTTTTTTTATCTTTCGTTTTTTTTTGTGTAAACTAAGTAGTTAGACAGTTAGAGAGACAGACAAATGAGTGAGAGAGTTAAGTTAAGCGGCTTTTTTTTTAAACGTACGTGCGTTGTGTAACATACAAAAATATTTAACAAAAAGAATCAAAAAATTAATGAACAGAAACATTCATATATTCGAGACATAAAAATCGTATATATTGTTTTGTTTCTTAATAATTTTTTGTTTTCTCTTTATTTCGATATAAGGCGCTACGATTTCATCTAGTAATTTGCGGTGCTAAGAGAATGGTTGCACATACACAGTTTCATATAAAGATTTTTGTAACAGTTTAAAATAACTAAATTCATTTTATATACCTCTGTCCTTCTCTTAAATAAGCATTTATTTTTGTGAAAAGTATCGTTCTTTTTCTCTTCAGCTTTTTATGTTAGAGAGTTTTAAATATATAAGCTGATGAAAAAGTGTGTGTTTTTTTTTCTCTATTTTTTTTTCATTGTTGTATGTTCCGTTCGTTCGTTTTATTTATTTGAAGAAAAACAAAACAATTGTAAATATTAAAAAAAAAAAAAACTCGACGCAAAGACATTCAAAAAAAATATCAATAAGATCTGCCATTTTTCTTTTTTCTTTCTCTCTCATAATGTGTACATTTCTACTTTTTTTTTTTCATATATGGTTTGCAATACTATTTAATCTTTATGTAGAAAACAATCTGACTTGGAAAATACTCCATTTTTTTCTTTGTTCTGCTACTGCTTTATCTACGTATCTAAGTGTAATTGAATAAATACATAGAGCTGAAAAGAAAGAAAAACCATCCATATGTTAATCGCAAACAAAAATCCCAAATAATCAGAGGTCAAATGGTAGACGATGAGTGTTAAAGTGCCCGACGATTAACAGATGCTAGAACGACAAAGTAAATAATGGTCACTATTTAATACGTCTAAGTTGCATTAGAAAGTCATTGTTTGTTAGAAATAGCTACGATTCACTAATATTTCTTTTTTACTGTAACGTACGACCATCAACTATTCGGACTAAAAGAAAGTGAAAACATCTTACTGCTGACAATGACGGTGACTTTCTGCAATTAAATTAAAGTTACTCGAAATTTAGCTTATGACTTTCAAGTCTTGAATGTGTACGCTGACGTACATAATCGTCACAAAATAGTTGTATTCGATAAATTAAACATATAAAATAAAATGCAACCTATATGTTCGACAAAAAATAATTATTTCTTGCAACTTATGAAAGGCCATCAACTGATGAATCGCTCTTGGATTAAAATCCAGTGGACAATACGTAATCGAGTATGCTGAATCCGAATATGGTAATGGTTTTTGCCGCTAAGTTTCCGGAGACTCGGTTTCTAAAAATCAGTTTTTCAGAAACTATACGATCTTTCTTTGCAAAGTTATACAATTTGCAAGAAGAGCCCCAAATTAATTTCTTATTTCTGTCGCTTTGAGTTGACAATGAACACTTAGGGCTTTTCTTGTAAATTGTATAACTTTGCAAAGAAAGATTGTGTAGAACTGGAAGATGTCTCATTTTAATCAGAAATGTGCGGGCTACAATTATGCCTCATTAAGAAAGGTTTTGGTTATTTTTCAGACTTTCTAAAAAACTGATTTTCTAGAAACTGGGTCTTTGGAGACCTAGCGGCAAAAACCATTATCATATTCGAATTCAGCATACTCGATTGTCCACTAGGTTTTAAGCCAAAAGCGATTTATTAGTTGGTGACCTTTCCTCGTTAGTCTCTTACATCATTCACACATATTTGTCAAAATTGCCTTCTAACTACGATTAATGTTATTGTCTTTTTTTACGATAATTTCTTTGTAGTCGTTTACATTTGCCCGTGTCCGATCGTGTTGAACATAATTTAACGACATGAATGTACGCATCGATGAATGTACGCTGATTTTTGCAATAATATTCATAATTTGTAATTAAATTAAACCGTAATGCCGATATATCAACACGATAAACACATTTAGATTGTTCTAATTTAAATGTTTATTCAATATGTAATTTAGCTAAATCAATGTTTATTTTTTTTCTTCTCATAGCGGTTGTGATGACCAAAGTAAAAAATGCCCAATGATCAGCAACTACTGTTCGATTTGATGAACGAATTAGATGAGTACCTTCCTGTTCATCTACTAGTGGACGTTCATCAAAATCAACTATATCACTAAAACAGAAATATAATCGAGTGTCTATTGATCGATAATCTTGCTTCATTAGCTTAGATATTTTACAAATATTACATTAGAAAATCTTTGAAAAATAATCCTACACAGTGAATGAAATAAGTATTCGTACGATAAGACACTTCTTGTTTGTCCACTCATTATCTGTGGAAAGAAAGAACATGGAAAAATTCTTTCAAATCGTTTGATAGAGGAGATTGTCAGCACCTAGAAATCTATAACATGTCTCCTTTAACACTGAATCCGTTTTAGAGACAAAATAAATATTTGAATTGATAACTTTTCTCTATTATTTTAAATATTTCTCGTGCAATTGGATGCTTCTTCTATATACCATTCGAAAGGAGAGACAATCAGCTTTACAACCAGAGTGCCCAAATCTCCTGATCTGACCAGGAGACTCCTGATTTTTAGACTTTTCTGCTGATGAAAATTCTCCTGATTACAGGAGCTGATTTTTAAGATTTTCTCCTAATTTTCAATTGTTTCCTGCATCGATTTTGTTTTTTTCAGAACTGAGATTATCAGTTTCAGAAACAGAATTTCTGGATCAAGAGTCTAAATAATTGTACATTGAAAGAGTCCGCTGTGTGCTTATTGAATGTTCTCATTACAAGAAGATGAGATTAGTGAACTTCCGAACCCATCGGATCAAAATCTTCTTCCTCGTGTCGTACTACAATCTGTAACAAATGATAATACTGTTCCATCAAAAAATATTTCAAAAACCACTATATTTTTGACAAAGTGCTTGGATTTTTTTGTTTTGCTTGTCGAAGAAAAGACTGTCTAATGCTCTCCTGTTTTTCTTCTGATTTCGAAAAAAGATCTCCTGATTTTCCTCCTGCTTTTTTAGAAAAAATCTCCTGATCAACTCCTGATTTTTAACGAAAAGCTCCTGATTTTCGAAAAATTGGATTGGGCACCCTGTTTACAACTGCAAAAAGCTTTTAAGACGAAACAATAAGGAAATTTTAAAAACTGAAAACCTCTGACTACCACAAAACTCTATTAAAACTGGATTTTCTATGCCGAAACATGGACAGAATTTAATTTTAAATAGACCATTAGAAAGAGCTCTCTATCAATTTGAACTGCTTTTTGATAATTGCGAAAGGATCATCAAACGGAAGTATCTAGTTATACGAAAAATATTTAAAATAAATAACAAAAGTTATCAATTTGAATATTTATTTTGTTTCTAAAACGGATTTAGTGTTAAAGGAGATATGCTATAGGTTTCGAGGTGCTTACAATTTGCTCTATCAAACGGTTTGAAAGAATTTTTCCATATTCTTTGTTTCTGCAGATAATAACCGGACAAACAAGAAGTGTCTCATCTTATGAATATTATTCACAGTAAATGTACCTGTGAGCGGGTACTTATTTACTTATGAATTTCTGTGAGTACTTGACAAATATTTCATAAGTATTTTGTAAAATGGTGTGTGGTATCAAGGTACTTGCCAAGTGTTTGATTTACATGTTAAATCACTCACAGGTACTTGGGGGTTACTTGAGCAGGTGCTTGGTCTAGTATTTGATAAGAAGGTAAAGTAATTAAGATACCTGACTTTCTAGAAAAATTTCAACGTTATCTGTGATATGAGTATTCTAAAAAGTACTAAATACAGAAAAAAAAACTGTTCAAACAGGCGTTTTTTCTAACTTTAGTGTATGTTAGAATGCTTATATTTTTGCTAGAAATAACTTCAAACTCTTTTTCACAGTTGAGTTTTTAAGAGCAAACCTTTCTCTACAAAATGAGGGGTTTCGCGACTCTGAGTAATTCTTTATAGGTGACTTATAACAATTTTTGTGGAAGCTCTAACACCAGCTTTTACCTGCATGCCTATTATCAAGTACTTGATAATAGGTTTAGTACTAACACATCCTGTGGCCGTTGAGAATGCAACGAAGAGTGATTAAACCGCACAGAAAACCTTGCTAGCCTAAGAAGAATTAACTCATTA